TTTTATTCTATTTAAAAATTGTTTAACAATTTAAGCGGGCAAATTTGCCCGCTTAAATGGACGGTTTAAGGGATAAGTCCTACTATAGGCCCAGGCTTATATTATATATTTAGGGTGCTATATTTAGAGAGGGTGCATTTAGAGGTCTAACTGTACTACTAAATAATCTAGTTTAAACTCTATACTACTTATTTATATCTATATTAGAATATATAACATATCTATTCTTGAGTAAAGATCCAAGTTTAAAATTTCTCTTGCGATTTTACCAGACCTTTGGCAAGATATTTTGCAACACATTCTTGTGCTTTATACTTATTTTCAGACAAAGTTAGCAATATAGGGATCTCAGTGTAAATACTGTAACCTCTTAAAAAAATTAATTAAATATTTTTTATTCCAAAGTAGCTATGTACTTTTGTATATAACTTTTCTTTTTGGCAGCAATTGTTGTTGTTGATTCTTTGATGGGGTATACCAGATGTTTCACTATTGGTGAAATTTCGTGAAGAACAGAAAGTGGGATTTGGTAGAGGGTTTTAGTTTGCAGGTAACCTTAAACTTTGATAGAGAGTATGTTGAAAACTTGCTTGTTGTTTCTTTTTAGACCTTTTACTTCATTAGCAAAAGCTATGCTTTTATTAAAATTTTTTATATAAAGGCACTACCTCCTGCTAGTTATCTTACAAGAATACTTTTAACTTGCTTGCTGAATATACAGAGGAGTTCAGAAGAAAGGCAAGTAAGCCTTGACCTCTATAAAAACTGTTACTTGTAGTTGTATCTTCTACTTTTTCCAACAAGTTTTCTATTTTCATTAATCATAAGTTTTGGTATGAGTGATTGTTGAAAAGAATATATATTAAAAATTTTTGTTTATTAATCTTTATTTTTGCAAATTTGTATATAAAAGATTAGCAGAAAGAGTTAATAATAAATTCTAACTATTTAATAACAGTAGTTACTATTAGTTTTTTTTAACAATTTTATATGATATTAATATCAAATAAAATATATAAATACAGTTAACCTTCTATATAATTACTTAGTTGGGAATATAGGAACTTTTTAAAAAATATGCTTATAAACAGATTGTGCTTATATAGAGGTTTTTTCTATATATTTATAGTAGTTGATTTAAAAAAATTAAATGCTTATATAGAGGTGTAATTATAAAACATGACTATATAAAGGTCTGACTATATATCTTTCATATCAGATATTACTTTTTTTAGATTTTTGTATATGAAACCTTAAATCTAAGAAAGCTAAAGAAGCTGCAGCTTGCTTATTTAATTTTTCTATGACATGTAACCCTCCTGTAATATTACATTCTGATAATAGTGATGAGTTTATTGCATAAATCCTTAAAGAGACATTAAATCTTTGACCTATTATCAAATTGGTTGATAGCAAACTAAGACACCTTTGCTATTAAGAAATGCTAAAAAAGAAAATAACATTTTTCGATCCAAATTAGGAGCCTGGATAAAAAATACAAACCAAATAATTGAAGTATCAATGTGAGTGATGATATAACAATTGATGAAAATTTTTTTAAATTTAAATTTTGAATAGTTTTTATATGCCTTATTGTGCATTTTTATTAATTATGCAATTTTTTGTATTGCGCATTTTATTAATTATACGAATTATTTAATTATATGGTGCATATTTAATATAGCTAAATTTTATTATAAGTAACTTTATATTTTGTTTTAATCTTATTTATGTAAAATTGTTTTTTTTTTCATGCAAAAGAATTAATAATATAATTATTATTATTGCCTGGAATTATAATTTATCGCTTGGGAGTATAATTTTTAGAATTTT